GGGGTGATCCTCTACGCCCTGCTGTGCGGCACCTTGCCGTTCGACGACGACCACGTGCCGACGCTCTTCAAGAAGATCTGCGACGGCATCTTCTTCACGCCGCCGTACCTGAACCCCGCCGTCACCAGCCTCCTGAAGCACATGCTGCAGGTGGACCCCATGAAGAGAGCCACCATCAAAGAGATCAGGTGAGGACTTTGGCAAGTTGCGCGGGGCTCCCGCGCAATCCTCCTTATCGGCCAGGCGTGTCAAAACGCACAAGGAATCTGTCTCCGGCAGTCTGAGCTACGCTTGCATTACAGTAACGAGCAACTATGGCAAAAAGTCGAAGGGCGTCCAGGCATCCGGCCGCCAGAGCGGCACCGTGACTCGTGGGCTTTGTTTCCCCTCGCAGAGAGGATGACTGGTTCAAGCAGGACCTTCCCAAGTACTTATTCCCCGAGGACCCGTCCTACAGCAACAGCATGATCGACGACGAGGCCCTCAAGGAGGTGTGCGACAAGTTTGAGTGCACCGAGGAGGAGGTGCTGGCCTGCATCTACAGCCGCAACCACCAGGACCCGCTGGCCGTGGCCTACCACCTCATCATCGACAACCGCCGCATCATGAACGAGGCCAAGGACTTCTACCTGGCCTCCAGCCCGCCCGACTCCTTCCTGGACGACCAGCACCTCGCCTCGTCCGGCGCCTCGGTGGCGGCCGCGGTCAAGCCGCACCCGGAGCGCGTGCCCTTCCTGGTGGCGGAGACGCCGCCGCGGCCGCGCCACACCCTGGACGAGTTGAACCCGCAAAAGTCCAAGCACCAGGGCGTGCGGCGGGCCAAGTGGCACCTGGGCATCCGCAGCCAGAGCAGACCCAACGACATCATGACGGAAGTGTGCCGCGCCATGAAGCAGCTGGACTACGAGTGGAAGGTGAAGTGGATATTTGCACCTTAACGGTCATTTGGCCGATGCTCATTGAACCCGCAACCTCGCCTCTTCTGATGCGCTGAACAAAGCGAATGCTGCGACGATGTAACATTTCCGATGTACACCTCCTATTTTGGGGGGGGGAATGAGCATCTTGGCTCTTTATGTAGTGAGGCCAGAGTATTGGCTTGGCTCCATCTTGTGGCATCTGCTATTTTGAAGTTGCCGTGTTGCGACCTGTGCCCGCCAGGTGTGCCGCAAGGTGTCTTGAAAAGTAGTCAACGACCAACGATTGCGAGAAATGCTGATGCTGACAGGAATTGTTCCCCCGTGCTTCCAGGTTGTGAATCCCTATTATTTACGCGTGAAGCGGAAAAACCCGGTGACTGGCATGCAGACCAAGATGAGCCTTCAACTTTACCAGGTGGACAGCCGAACCTACCTCCTCGACTTCCGAAGTATAGACGGTACGTCCAAAGTTCAACCGCCCGTGCACGCTGTGTTGAACATGAATCCAAACGGAACGCAGCGATTCGCTGCCTTTGGGGACTTGAATCCCTTCGGTTGAGGTATTGGGACACGCAAATCAAACCTTTTTGCCCGACGTGTTGTTTTTTTTTTTTGTAGATGATAGCTTGGAAAACAAATCTGGCACAGCGACCCCTCTCCGCTCCGGATCGGTCGGCAACTACCGCACCACCATCAAGAGCGAGGCGGACGCCGCCGACTCGGCCGCCCCGCAGCCCAAGACGGCCGCCGAGGGCTCGCTGGCATCGTCGCTCGCCTCATCCATCGACTCGATGGGAGGCGCCGACGCCCCGTCGGCGCCTCGCCCCGGCAGCCATACCATCGAGTTTTTTGAGATGTGCGCTAACCTCATCAAACTGCTCGCACGATAGCTCGGCACACGCACACACCCAGGCGTATGTGCGCGCTTCGATCGCTATAGCCTTGTTTGCTCTCCGAGTGTGTTTTTAGCAATAAGCGGGCAATCCGTCGGCACTTCGGCCCGGGATGGCCGGCGATGCCGGGATGAGCCGAGAGAGAGGGAAGAGCATATTTTGGATCAGTATGTCAACACCTTGTGAAGTGATTACACTGAATTTGCTGTCCTGTCGAGGTCAGACAGCTTCCGGTGCAAACAAACAAAAAAAAAAAAATCTACTTTTTCTTTTGTTTGTTTGGGTTTTTTTTTTTCCTGTGCGAAAGAAGGAAGAAGCAGCACTTTTGCACACCTTTCTTTTCATTCCTGTTGTTCTCGTTTGGGGGGTTGGTTTCGTTTTCCTCAAGTGGCGTTGAACTCGTCAGGAAGTGCAGTGGACCCCGGCCCCTCCTTCTCAGTGTCACCATTTTTTCTTCCAAGTCCGTCTTTGTTCTGACAGTGTCACCTCGCCCCATCTTTGCAACAAGTAGCCGAACATCAAAATTCACAACGGGTGTTTGATCCAGTCACTTTTCAAAGACATGCATTTCTTTGTCCTTCTGTCGTTCCTCCGGTCGCTCTTTAATCTGCGTTGTGTAAATCCATCCCAAGTGAAAATAACTTTGGTTCTCCAGATGGATTGCTGGATTTGTTTTTTTTTTTGTCCCCTCATGTACTTTTTGTAAGCCGCATCACTTGTCAATCAGAATCCAGCGTTGTTTCACAGTGTATTCAATTCCCGTCAACTCATGCTAACAACACAGGGGCGGGGGGTATTCATTGACGTCCCTTTTGCCAAGAAATCGGGTTTCTTCTTGATGATCATTTAAAAAAAAAAAAAGACAATCTTTAAATTGGCATCACCCCCTCAGTTTGGAAATGCTGGAGCTACTGAACGCTGTTTGACGGTCCAAAATTCTGACGGCGCCGCCCACCCGCCTCAACCCCCAATTGTCAACCATTAAAATGGCATTTGTTGTTGTTTGCTTGTTTTATTGTTGTGTAAATCATTTGAAATTGTGTCAGTCATGATGAAGCCTTTCTGTCTGTGCAATTTGTTCAAAATGCCACAAGCAAGCATTTCTCACCCCCATGTATGTACTTATTCTCAAATGACAATTACTCGAACAGCATCACCTATTTCGAGACCTGACGATCTTATGAATGTGTCACCCGTTATGGAAATCTTTATAGTATCTACTGTCAGGTTGCCTTAGTTGACGGGGGCAGGGAACCTACAGCAACTTAATATGGCCCCAAAACGTTGAATATATGTAAATCCTTCTGATTGACAATAATCATATTTTGGTGGTATTTTTTTTCAGAGGGCTGAAAATCGGACAATGGGTTCCCCGCTGCTGCCTTACAATCATAATCAGTCAATGATTGGCTCAATTTAATTGCCAGGGTGAAGTCCCACATAAGGAAAAAAAAAAGATCAAACTTGTTTGGTTTTTTTTTTTTTTGTTGGGGGAAAAATTGACACACTTGAAATAATTGTTGCCAAACTACTGCAGACCTCTGATCCTTGACGGCTGTTGGAGATTTTTTGTTTCGTTGTTTTGACACAATCCTTTGTTTTGATGAAGCAGTATCAGTGGTTGCTGATTTTGACAGCTTTAGAAAAGATGTTGATTGTTACATTTCATTCCGACTGAACACCTTAACATTTTTGTTGAAATAAGAGTTTATGGAATATGGTAAGAACCAGGCAGTTTGGGGAAGGGTGTACATTTTGACTTAAAATTTCTTTGCGCGTGTATGTGTGCGCGCGTGTAGAAAGACGAATGTGGGGGGCGACATGTGACTGGGGTGAAATTTGAACTGCTTTATGTCAAGCGACCCTACTTTCCAAGAGTGATCTCTGTGTGTGTGTGTGTGTATATATGAATGGATAGTGTCGGAATCGTTTGTATACACAACTGCCTAAATAAAATGCTAAATTGCACACAAACCTTAAAAAAGGCTTGTCAGTTTATTTAGTTTAAGTCGTGTATTTAAGAGCAACTGTGGTGTTGAGGTGCATATTTCAACGTATTTCGTGAAAGTGATACAATTAGAAAAACACGCATACTTTGATTCACTATTTATAAAATGCACAACAGACGGTGTCAACATTTGAGGGGAAAAAGCACCGGGTCAAACAGGCTTGTGTGAACGGAGCCAGCTTTTTTTTGTTGTTGATTATTGTTACGCCTGATAATACAAAAGCGTGTGAGTTAATGTCCGGGTGAGGTTAAATGCTAGCATTAAAACCGCAGTGGTTTGTTTCCCAAACCTGCCTTTTTACGTTGCTTCATTTATGATTGGCACCCACCACTCTAATGGATGCTAGCCCTCGACATCGGTACACCCCTCCAATGCGCAGTTGGTCGGCTAATGCAATACGTAAGGGCGTCTGCCATATTGAATGTGTCAAATATGCCGCGTTAACATATGCAAGCCAAGTCAATGGCCTGAACTTTATAAAGGGACAACCTCCAAAGTTTATGTCATTCAGCCATTCACAAACACACTAATGTATCTGGGAAACACAGTGGCATCAAAAACAACGAAAATGTGTATTCTACATAGAAAATTTTTGTATTCAAAACATATCCTAGTTGCACTGAAGGTTCATCTCTTTCCAAGAACATCTCTGAGGGAGCAACATTATACAGTCGTATGCAAACACGTGACACGTCTTGAGCTGCGTATTTTTAATTTACTGTATAATATCACGCATCGTCTATTTAATTGTGATTTTACAACAATAGTTTCACTTTCTGTTATTTTTAATAATTTAGCATCTTGCCTGTTTTTTGTGTATTTTTTTTTATTGACAAAATATATGCAATACAACATCACGCAATCCACTTAACATATTTTAGTAAAATATGTTAAGTGGATTAGTAATGATAAAGAAGATAAATAAAAATCCATCTTTCAAAACAGTGACACCCTTGGGTTACTCGATCAACATTTCCGAATGTATAACAATTATTGATCTAAATTTTTTGTTATTAGTTCAATCGACAGCAAACAAAAATAATTTTAAAAACGGGGGTGAATTCAAAAATTTATATATAGGGAGGTGGGGTTTTCCGAGCAAACTTATACAATAGTACAGCATTTTTTTTTTCATCAATTCGATTTAGCATCTGAAACGTTCACTTTCTCATGTCGAACTCGTGACGTCACGTCCACCGTTTCCGCATTTGCGAGGGTTCATCTCTTCTCAAAAGAGTCTCTGTGAGGACAGGGTCAACATTAGAACGTGACTGCCAGCTTTTTTGTTACCTTTTCAGTTCACGAATAATCGACTCTTTTTGAACATAAAAACTTACATTTCAACGAGCGTCGCGTTCGTGGAGGCGGTCCAGTCATGTCGGAACAAGACAGTAACCCGTTCACGGAGTCGGAGCTCAGCAATCCGTTTGAGGTAAGGCTGTCTGGCGAGCTCCGTAGCTTAGCCACATCCTCCTCGCATCGCTGTTTACATTTGGACACGCGTAGCCGGTTTTAAACTTGGTCTAACGACAGTGAAAAATGAATTTACCTGTGCGCCCCTTTTAGAGCCTGTTCAATGACCACATAACGGTTATTTTAGGGTGTGTGTGTGTGTGTGTGTGTGTGAATGAATGACAGGAGCTGATATCCTTTCCAATGTACAAAAACGAACCAAATCGATTGAACCCTGAAGACATTGCCTAACTCTGCTTGCTTGACCGCCCGTTGAATTTACGTGCATTTTCTGGCACATTTTGTATTTACTTGAGTGTCTTGCAGCCATCAACATGAGTGTTGCAGATTGAAAAGAAACCTATAACCGGTTGTGCTTTCAACCATCTGCCTTCCACCGAACCTTGACGGCCCTTTCGTTTTCCAACGGGGTAACCCGTTGGAATGTCAGGCCGACCGCTGTGAGTGTTAAGCCTCGAAGGACGATAGAGGCAACTTGGCGTCATTTAAAAAAAGCCAGCAGCACCTCATCTGAACTATACAGAACTGGAGAAGTGCTAACACATTACAATTACCCCCTCCCGCGTCCTCCTACACGCACACAAAAAAATAGAATCGACTGAAATCGATGAATCGGAAAGGCCTGCAGAAAACGAGTTGAGAGTAAATAACAGCGATTGGACAACAGCCGCACGGCAAATGGGTATTTTTTCGCAAATCATGAATTGTTCAGAACCCTGCGGGGCCAACATGTTACTGGCGCCCGAGGGCCCGCGGAAGGGAGGAAGCATATGTTCCGGTGACAGGCCCCACCGCCCTCCCACCCACAGGCTACACGACAGGCTACACTCGGCCCACTTTCTCTGCCAATTGGGACAATCCTTCTGTAGTCTGACTTCAGTCTGACTTTCTAGAAAAAAAGATTTGTACGGTACTGGTATTTTGGTGGGGAAAAAAAAGTAGTACATTCCAAAAATCGTGATATACTGCGTTTTCTACCCATTTGGGGGCGCAGGTGACCTGGAGCCTGGTAGAAGCGGGCGTCCGTCCACCAGTTCAGCTTTTACAAAAACGCACGTCTTGCAATTGGAGAAACGGGGGGGGGTCCCAACAACCTCCGTGTGAATTATTTAGGATGGCGGTCAGCTGACAAGCTGCAGCCCGTGTGCGCGTGCGTTTAACAGAGGGCGATTTGGGGGCTCTGGTCAGGAAGACGGCGACGTCCGCCTCACTCGGAATCGGAGGAGCGTGCGAGGCTGATGCCAAGCGAGCGGGTGGGCAGGACGTTGGTGTTTGCGCTGAGTTTACGGATGGCAACCAAGGTACTTGGGGGCAGCTTTTGTCACCGGCACTACTCAAAGCCTCCTTTTTCTTTTTTTCTTTTTTTTTTTTGACCCACCCCCGTCCCAAACTGCAAGTATTGATTTTGTGCCATGTGTTTCAGGACCCTTCGGTGACACTTGCAAGACAGACGGCGGCGGCGGCGGCAGTGGGATTAGAAGAGTACAATCCCTTCACAAACTCCAAACAAGTGAGCCTTTCACGATCTGAGGGACTCTGAATCGAGCTGATCGGTTGTGGTCATGGCAATCAAGGAAAACCAACCGAAGAAGTTAACGTTAGCTTAGCCTGGCATCGATGCTTTCAGTACCACTTTGACTGCAGTGCGGCAAGCCAACGTTTTATTGCTTTGTCTCGTTCCTCGCTGAATTGCCAATTTTGATGTCATCGTTTTCAACTGAATTTTTGTTGACGGCGTACGGGCAGGTCCACATTTCAACTCGGGTTCAGAACCCTGACAACTTGAAAGCGGTGTCTCATTGGTAGATTGAATGAGAGGGCTTGCCCTCGTTTTCACCATCCGCCGCGTTCACTCTCAACTCCCGCTTCCCGTCTAGGCGGCCACGGCGAGCAAGCCCCCCGCGGCGGCGCCAGCCGTCCCGACCCAGCCCGCCGTCGTGAAGCACGGCGAGGAAGCTCCCGTCTCCTTGCAGCCTCGGGCTCAGGTAGCCTCGTCCTGCGGCGGATCGCCGCTTGTTCCATAGAAGCTGGCGAGCTGACGCACGCTGTGACCGCCACTGCCGCTCAGGAGTCGACGGGGGGTGCCGGCGAGCTGCTCAAGAGGCAGGAAGAGCTGGAAAAGAAGGCGGCCGAGCTGGACCGGCGAGAGAGGGAGATGCAGTCGCTCAGCGCTTCTGGAGGTGCGTCACTCTTGTCGCCTTGCTACGATTTCGGGCTGACACTTCAAATGTTTGAGCCATGAAACGCTCCTTTCTTCTCATTGTCGGCACCACAAGGCATCTATCCATCCAGCCGCGGACGGTCCAACAGCACCATGTATAAAGAGTAAGGCGTTTTTTTACAGCCAAAAAAGACAACCATGTATCGTAAGGCATTTTTAGCCGAAAAAAACGACCATGTATAGTAAGGCGTTTTTAGCCGAAAAAAACGACCATTTACAGTAAGGCGTTTTTAGCCGAAGAAAAACGACCAAGTATAGTAAGGCGTTTTTAGCCGAAAAAAATTAGGCGAAAAAACGACCATGTATAGTAAGGCGTTTTTAGCCGAAAAAAACGACCATTTACAGTAAGGCGTTTTTAGCCGAAGAAAAACGACCAAGTATAGTAAGGCGTTTTTAGCCGAAAAAAA